CCAATGTTTATGTCAAGGAGAACAAGGACTACGATCTTGCTCAGGTCGAAGCCGTCGCGCGATGGATCACCAAAATGGTTGGCATTTTTGGGTTGGACTCTAATGCCAGTCCCCCCTATGACGGCCTCGGCTGGGCTTCATCGATCGCCGCCGATGTAGATCCCAAAAAGGCTGTACAGTCCTATGCTGAAGTTCTCAATGCCGTCAAAGCCGAGGTTGCCGCGTTGTCCTTGTCCAGCGAGACCCTTCCGTCTCTGCTAGCTCAAGATCCCGCCCAGGACTTTGAGTCAACTGCGTCCTCCGGGATCCGCGACATTGAGCAGCTAGCTCTCCCTTATTTGCGCGTAGTTTCGCAGATTCGCGACGAGCTCCGTCGCATTGTCTCTTCGCAGACACCGGAGACTAAGCGAGCCATTCTCTCCCTGACGGATCGGATCCGTGACGTGGATCTCACTAACCTTGGCGTCTACCTCGACGACCGGCCCGATGGCCAGCCATCACTCATCAAGTTCATTCCTGCGGCCGAACTCATCCGCGCTAGGGAAGAAAAGGCGGCGCGTGAAGCTGAGAAGGCCGCCAAGAAGGAAGAAGCCAGACTTGCTCGCGAAAAGGCCGAACACGAGGCCAAAGAGAAGGCCAAGGTGCCTCCGGAGGAGATGTTCAAGAAGGACGACCGATATAGCGCTTGGGATGAGACGGGCATGCCAACCAAGATGAAGGACGGAAGCGACGTGCCTAAAAGTCAGACAAAGTCGTTGAAGAAGATGTGGGAGAAGCAAAAGAAGGCGCATGAAGAGCTCAAAGCCAAAGGTGGGCTATGAAGACTCGTCAATATCTCTCTATCCGACTTTGAAGATGTGCATGGCAGCTACAAAACTCATTCTAGGTGAATCGCAACCGCGTTCGTACCCGCAAGCCTCCGACTGGAACGGCATGTTATCTGCTGCTCGTACATGGACGGACTTTGTGCGTAAGACATAACCCACGCGTCCACCACAAAACACATCACAAGACATGTATGCAAGCAATATGCTTGTCCCACTCATTGTAACTACGAGAGTCAGTCGGGGAACTCGGCCCCCAAATGCATCTAGTATTGGTCATTTCATCCGCAGTCCAGATGTTCGGACCCCATTTTACCTCTCCTGGTGGGTTTCTACACCGCGAAGCGAGCCCGGGCCATTGAGTCGTATGCAGGGATCAAATATCTCCTCCTTCCAAGAACGCCTCTGCATCCATACATAGACGGTCTTGTTTCTTTCCCATCTGGGGTTCCATTGTTCGCTATCCCATACCTTTCCATATCCTCCAGGGATGGATTATCAACCTGTGCTGCCATGGTGCTCTACCTAGCGATGCATGGATGGGGAGTCATGGTGAGTCATGGGGAGGTTCAGAAAAAAAGTGAGGATTCACTGAACTCCGTGGCCTCACCGTTTCAGTGCAGCGGCTGTCAAGATATGCATGAAGCAAGTCAATTTCACCTGTGCCAGCTGGCAAGGAACAACAAACAAACAAACAGACAAGCACCTGTCCCCACTTACCTTGTTTTTTTTTTTCCTCCTTTTTCTCGTCCCTCGTGATGAGTGTATGACACTGTTTGACGCGTTTGTTTGCATTGTTGCTTTTCTCGCATCTTGTGATGCAAAGAACCTTTTTTTCTACTCGATTATTCCTTCTTTGCTTCATTCCAGAAGACAAGTTCTGGATCCTTTGCTAATGCTGTTCCGAAGCTCTTACCTCGCCTACAAGCGAGAAACAAGTAGGCTTGTCTTTTTGCTAGTCACGGCAACCAACGCCATTCGGTCTGTCAAGAAGGGGACAGGCAAATTGAACACAAGCGGTAAACTGGACTCTACAGGAATCATCCCATCCGCCGAGTTGATTGTCAAGCACATGAAGAGCATACCTTGCGAGATTCTCCGCCTGCTCAAATCCGTCATCAAGCTTCGGACAAGTCACTATGCAGAGTTTCAGCGTCGTGTTTGCGCCAATCCCAATTTTGAGATGGAGGAAAGCAACAAGTCACATAAGCACTTCATCGACGTGCTCTATCAAGCCTTCAATATCCTCGGCGGAGAAGGCAGGCTTCACGAAGACGGAGCCAAGGCAGTGGAGGCAGATGAAGCAGAACTCAGCAACGAAGATTTTCAAGCAACTTGTTCCAACATGTTTTCGCACCTGCAGATTTATGACTTGGCGGACAGTGATGAGGGCGATGATGAAGTGTCCACGCGTGATGCTGGCCAGACAACATCCCGAACTGGAAATGCCAGGAAGGCTCTCGCGAAGCGGAAGAAGAGCAAATCCGGCAAGGCTTCCAAGGACAAGAACTGCAAACGCCTCGACAAACTATCCATTGACCAGTATGGTATTCTGGACGACGATCATCACGTGGCTGCAGAGTATTTTCTCGCGGCTTCTTTACTTGTCGAGCAGAGTATTGAACTCAGGCTCCGAAGTCTGCTTGCATGGAGAGACGTCGCCTACAGAGAGATGCAGCCTCTTTTAGCCTTGGCGACTTCGGGACAAAGCATTGCCATGGTTCGACGATCACACGCAACTATATGTAGCGACTTTGCAGGTTCTCACTCCTACATGGACCTGATCAATACCTACACGAGAGGGGGGGTACAAAATCTGCAGCGGAAGACAACCATAAGACTGAGCGGCGCGGCGGCGAGCGAGGATTCCTGTGTGAGCATGAACGAGGTAGAAGTCCCACTGAAATCTATGAAGGAGTTGCTCATGACGCATGCGTACAACAATCTTGTCGAATTTGTTCGAGACTTTCGAAAGACTTCGTCTGGCGTGCCGACCAAGCGGATGCAGGACACGATAAGCCGGTGGGATCTGAATTACGATCTCGTATCAGCTACCCCTGGCCAGAGACGTGGGTGGCGGAGAGTGTACACCATCAACTGGCTGTATGCTCTCGTCGGTTACTACATGAGTTCGAAGAAGCTGGTTGACCACCACGCCGCACACACCCCGTACCTTTCGACGGCATGGGCCGAGGAGTACGCCTTCTTTGGCTTGGGTCAGTTTGCCCGTTCCATCATCTCACTGGTTCGACAGCCAGCTGAATCACCGATTGAGGGCCATATTCCGCCACATCTTGTCTTTCAGCTTCAATGCATCGTCGACTCCTTCACCGCCTTGCGCGGTTTCATCGTGGATCCATGGGGCCAGACTGTGAAAGCTCCGCCGGTCGTCGTGTTTTCGCCATCGGAGTGGGGAGTGGTGGGCTATTACAACAGACTCACGTGTGGAAACAAGTGTGAGCATCACCAAGGATTGGCCCGGTCGTTCGAGGTGCTCGAGGACCTTTCCCGGTCTTGTCAAACCCGGCCTGGCGCTTTCGGCAAGGACAAGCTGTCGCTGGTCTGGGCCAGCTGGCGGGCGCAGCACCGGGTCATGGTCAATCTGCGAAACGGCAAGAGCCCTCGCTTTCGACCGGATCGCGCGAATGGACACATGGACGAATACGGCCTCTTCTCCTTGTCACCTTTTCTCTGTGGCTCCGCTATACTGCAGACCGTCGAGCTCTTCTTCAGATATGCCATGTATGTCTGGGATACCACGCCTGAGATAATCCTCATCCTGCACCTGCACAACATGCTGCATCAGAAGGGTCTGTTGAAAGAACCTGTGCAGATGATGGAAAAGGTGACGTCCTTGTTCATGGCAGACCTCTTTGGCGAAACGCCGCCGGCTTCCGACTTCTATCAAGCATTCGTCCACCGCAAGGAGGCATCGCAGCTCGCAGTCTCGCCACCCATCCAGCCCCTTCTGATCAACACGCCTTCGTTCCAGCAGTTCCACATGAGCGAGCGCTTCTTCAAGACCAGATCGTCGTTTCTCGTCTTCCACGAAGCCGACTGGGACGCCGCCGCAGTGTCCCCTCTCAGGACTGCGAGCCTCAGCGAAGACGCCTATCTCCGAGACACGATCCGGTCGCTCACAAACCGTAGCTCCTACGACTCGCGCAAGCGCATCGCGAAATCGTGCAAGAGCGGTGACAAGATCGAGCTGCCGCATTTTGACCCCGACAGCAATCACATCCACGAAAAGACGGTGCTCGACTTTGGCGAAATGTCCCTGCACCAAGACCTGTGTAGCTGCTGCCCGACGCCCCTGTCGGGGATCAACTTCCTCGCCGTCACCGCAAAGATGTGGTCCGTCTGGATCGCCCTTGCGGAGAAGCTGAAGCGCTCGGGACATGTCTCCTCCTCTTCTGATGGCGCAGACTCGACCACCTCGTCCGCTTCGGACAGTGCACAAGATGCGGTCGAGCGGGTCGTTGCAGAGGCGCTGCGAGGCGAAGACGAGGGCCTCTTGAACCTGTTGGCCGAGGTCTTTGACGAGATTCCGAACGAGGACATCCAAAGTTTTGCGTATTTCTCGAAGGGCAGTCGTAGTCGTGGTGGATCTGAGGCTTCGGAAGATTGATGGCGGCGATGATGGACGACGATGACGACCCGGGAAGGGGGGGGGGGGTTGTTTGGTGACGAGGGCGACGAAAGACTCGACGTAGGGAGACAATGTGGCAATCAATTCCAATGCTTTTGGCATATGAAGAAAAATGGAGGACGCTTCTCTGCTCATCTTTTTTAGAGATGGATGTTTCCTAGTTGGACCAGAGTAACGGGGGTCACTAGATATTCTCGCTGGGGGGTTGGCTGTCTAGCAACGTCCTCGCTCCTGATGTAGTTATAAATGTAGAGAAAATGTAAAATGCAAATGTAAGCATCTCAATCCTCGTCCCTCTTGTTTTGCAATTTCCTGGCACTAATCGAACAGAAAAGCACACATTTTCCCCTCCGAAGCCGAAGCCTCTAGGCCCAACTGGTCTTATTGCTTTGTCGGTACCTAGAGGCAAAGAAAAGTCGCACGATTACGAGAAAAAGGAATTCCAGTCTGATCAGCACAAAAGACACCTGTTACAGGACAGGTCACAGAGACAAAACAAAAAGTCTTATCTCAAGTGGTTCAATCATCTCCGATGCGGGGAATCGAACCCCGATCCCTGCGGGTCTCCAGGCACAGCCATGAAAGCGCAGTATGATAGCCACTACACCACACCGGATGAAGCTACAGTCCCAGATGCAGGAACTCATTGGCGTGGTAGCCCTTAATCACCACTATATACCCACCTTAATCCCCTTCCACAGTCAAGAACCGCACAGCCAGGTCTGGCCTCAACCACCGACCTCCCGATCGAACCCGTCAAACGCGCCGCCTTCCCCCGGGCTCCTCTCCCCTCCGATCCCCCAAATCCCACCATCAATCAATCAATCACTCACTCCCGCCGCGCAACAAAACGGCACCGCAATGCAAACATGGCACAATCCACCGCCCACCGCCGCCTCCTCCAGGAATACCGCGCCCTGACGAACAACCCCCCCGAGGGCATCACCGCGGGCCCCCTCTCGGAAGACGACCTCCTCCACTGGGAGTGCCTCATCCAGGGCCCGGAGGGGACGCCCTTCGAGGGGGGGGTCTTCCCCGCCGAGCTCAAGTTCCCCAAGGATTATCCGCTCGCGCCGCCGACGATGAAGTTCGTGGCCGAGGTGTGGCATCCGAATGGTATGTCATTCATGGAGGGAGCGCAACCCCCACCCCCCCAAACCCTCAACTTGGAAAAGTCCTCATCGCAACGATAAACCCAGTCCATGCTAATGTTTATACACATAAAACCAAAAAAAAAAAAAAAAAAAAAAAAAAAATAGTCTACGAAAACGGCCTTGTGTGCATCTCCATACTGCATCCCCCCGGCGATGACCCCAACCACTACGAGCACGCCTCGGAGCGCTGGTCCCCCATCCAGTCTGTCGAGAAGATTCTCATATCCGTCATGAGCATGCTTGCCGAGCCTAATGACGAGAGCCCTGCCAATGTGGAGGCCGCCAAGATGTGGAGGGAGAGCAGGTTCGAGTATGAGAAGAAGGTTCGGGATGGGGTGAGGCGGATGCTGGGCTTGTAGATGGAGTTGGGGGGTTTTTTTTCTTGGTTTTTTTTTGTACCTGGGGAATGGGGGTGGTGGTGTCGTGGTATCGACCCGACTACTTGGTTATGTGGCATGTTTGCAATGAACCGGTTTTTATTTATTTTGTGTTGTTTTGTTTCTTCTTATTGCATGGCACGCGTTGGTATTTGTACAAGGAGTAATGCCTTCTCTTGTGCTTGTGCATGTTTTCTAATGGGTTTTTTTTTTTTTACGACTCTTGAGATCGACTTCTCTAGGTGGGTGATTGCATCCTCGATCAGATGCCCTGGTATCCTGGTTGCCCGCGATGCATCTCGTGCTGCTCACTCGCCCTCATCATGCTTACATCAAACAAGGACTGTAGTCCTCTACATCCCGTTGTCCGCCTTGAACTTGTCCCAGCTTTCGTTGAGAGTCGCAAAAACCAGCCCAGCAACCAGCCGTACCTCAGTGTTGGCGTCTCTAGGAAGCTGTCACGACAGGCTTGTTAGCGAGGGCGTCTCGAGGAGCGTCACCTTGACGGCGTAGCGGTGTAACAAGAAAGAAGAACCCAGCAACAAGTAAAGATGATAATGATGATGATACATGATTCAAAGTGCGTACCTTGTCTGGATGAGTCTTGGCAATCGCCTTCATGTACGATATCTTGACCTTGTTGGCCATGACCAGCTCGTGCAAGCCAACCTTCTTCCATCCGCTGTTCTCCCAAAGCACTTGGTCCAGGCTGGCTATCAGGCCTCGCAGGTTATCTCGCTTTCCATCTCGCCAGGCAGACACCTTTGCGTCGACCTTTTCCGACAGAGCAAACTTCTCGTCATCTTCGCGAGCAGCGGCTTCGTTTGCTTCGCGCAGCCGAGTAACAGCCTCTGAACTCTTTTGCGGCGCCAGGCCAGCTGCCGTTGCTGGAACAGCGGAAGCTCTTGGCCTCGCGGGCTTGGCTGCCGTCTTTGGTTTCGGTGCCAGCGCGTTCTGGCATCGTTGACGACCCCTGATGGCCGTTGCTCCGCCTACTCCAGCCTCTACGCACTGTTGCCACACCGCTCCCGCATCTGCCCATCTTTCCCGTTGCTCCAAGGCTTCCGCCTTTCTAGTCAGGGCTTTCCCGTACAGGCCCCCCATGTCTCTGGCTTCTTCCTTGCCGTCTTCTCCTTGGACGGCTACGCTCTCGCCCCTACCGTTTGCAGGACCAATGAGCTTCAAGGCGTCGTCGGCATCTGTCAATGCTTGCTCAATGTCTCCCGTCTTGAGAGATGTAAGGGCACGGTTTGTCAACAGGACGATCATGAGTGGGTGGCCGGCAGGTATCAGGGATAATGAGCGAGAATAGGAAGACTGAGCTGTGGCGTAGTCTCCGCGCTTGAAATGTGCCGTGCCCTCGAGACGGTACTTGGTGGACGCTTGCAACACGGCGGGGTCGATCGGGGGGATCTGGCGAGGGTGCGTCGGTGTCGTGTTTCTGCTTTTCTTCGGCGGACCTGCTTGGGGCTGTCTTGTGAGGGACGGTGTCTGTCGTTGTGCAGGTCTTTCAGGTATGGGTCGTGATGACTTGTGAGCTTCTGTGTCGAACAGCAGATCCGGTTCGGCTTCTTGAGTCTTGGGTATTTCGGATGGAGGCGGCGCCGTCTTTTTTCTGCGACTGGCGCTGACGTAGCTAGAGAAACTGTCGTCATCGTCTGCCTTCATCCGACTCAACCTAGACCTAGCGTCCAACAGGCCGAGTGCCACTTGTTGCTGCTGTTGTTGTTGTTGCCATCGAGGCACGGAACTGTTGCGACTCTGGACACCAGATGATGGCGCCGCTGGCGATGATGTGCGCGACTGTTGCAGGCCGATTCTGGCATCTGCCCTCGGCCGACTGCTGTTTCGGCTCTGGCTTGGTCGGCCCCCCGATTCAAGGGCGAGAGCTTCTTCGGTGGCGTCTACGCGAGAGCGTCCCGTGTTCTGGTTTCGCCCTTCCTCTACGGCATCGCGCATCCATCTTGGTTGGCTTGCATCCCCTCCGTCTTGTTGAAAATCTGCCACGGCTTGCTGCATCTTCTTCTGCCCTGTTTTCCAGAGCGAGTTTGCCGTCTTGAACAGGCTGCTGCCCACAGCCGCAGCCGATTTTGCCAAGTCATTGTCTGCGCTCCTCTGGGACGATCCCACGGCTGTGCGCAGCTCAGACGGCTCGTTCGCCCGACCGGCCACCTTGGAGGAGCCCTTACCGGCAGCCTTTTCTCTGGCTTTTCTGTGGGCATCATCCAGCAACCAATTTGCCGCGGCCTGGACATCGAGTCCGGCGCCGCTCTGGCGGAGGCCTCTGCGGGCATCCTCGGGAGAGAAGCCATAGTCTATGAGTTGCGCAATAGCTCGATCGAGTTCGTTGTACGAGCCACCACCCCGTCCGGGTCCTTGCTCTCGTGCTCTCGATCTTGGGTAGTCGTCCTCGGACGAGCTTGAATCGGCCACTTCGATCGGTTTTCCAGGCTCAGCTTGTTTTCCTTGCTGCTGCTGCTGCTTCTGCTGCTGTTTCATCCGAATCTCCTCGACAGGTTTTGCGAGGTCTCCGAGAAAGTCATCATCATCTGCTGGTGTGGCTGCCGCTGTCGCTGTCTTGGAAGTCTGGCTGCTCGACTTGAGCTCGCCCAATCCAAACGGATCATCATCGTCATCGAAGCTGTTCACTTTCAGGTTGGTTTGGTTGGTTGGAACAGCCGCGGCAGTATCCCAGGCGCTCGGATTACTCAGGTCCAGGCGCTTCCTCTCCTCAACAGGGGTCGACTGTTGCCGCTCGGGCGGCGGATAGTGACTTGAGTTGTCCACTTTCGTATCCTTATTGAAGGCCGCAAACAAGTCGTCTTCATCATCATTTTGTGAACATTTTGATTCGCCGACCGGAGCCACAATGACGGGACTGGGCGTAAAGGCCCGCATGCCCAGGATGTCCCACTGTTGAGCGCTACCAAACTGTTCGTCTATCCGTCTTCTCTTCTCTTCGTCCTTCTTCCTCTTTTCCGCTGCGAGTTGTGCTTGTCGCTCGGCGAGAGAGAGGCTCTGTTTCGCCTTTGCCTGGCCAGCAAAGCTCAGCAGGTTGCTGAAGCTATCCTGGGCCAGGTTGGCGGCAGCTTGAGCAGGGGCGGAAGCGGCGATTCCAGCACCCTGCGATGCAGGCGTGCTGTGTCCCGAAGCAAGAGGCGATGGAGTTGGCTGTAGCGAAGGAAACGACGGGTTTGATGTCATTCGGCCGTATGATGGTTTGGGCTGCGAGCCCATCGGTTGGGACCAGTCCAGGCCCGAGAGGTCGTCCATCGTGGAGAGTTGGTGAGGGTATCGTTATCATCGATCATTACCGGGAAGCTCGCTGCTCAATGCATGTTTGGGTCAAGCTGTAGTGAACAACATCTTTTTTGACGTAATGTCTCAGACTCTCCGTCACTCCGTGCAGCACCCATGTGCCGTGTGGCTTACGTACTCGGCACAATGCGTCTTGTTCCCGATGCCGCACTCCCCCTTTTCAGCAGAGCTACCCTATACTTCCATCACTCAAGAGACGATGATTTCTCGTCGATGGTGAAATTGTGATGCTGAATCATGGAGTTACGGCAAACAAGCTCGACATCAAATTGACGCTCATCTCAGCAAGACAGTCAGTCCAGAGATAATGCCACTGTGGTCAGCACTCAACCTTTCTCTGATCAGAGCGGCGATGGAAAAGGAGCGACTTGCCAAGCAGCTGCTGTGTGGTCCTCCGGTCTTCCGTGCAAAGGCGACACTTGATCACTCACGCAATTTGATTTCCTTTTGCTCGCCCACCGTGCTGGATCCTTCTGTGAAATAGCGTCTTCTACTAGTCGCGATTGCCAAGGTCACCTAGAGACTGGCTTAGTCTACGTAGAATGTCAACAAGAGACACACGAGACCCTTCCGTCGCATATACCAAATACACACACATAATTTCATCCGGCTCCAGCTTGCCGATGCCTGGCGCCCCCACCCCCGGGAACCTCTCTGGACGCGTACGCCGTATACGAACGCTGGGGCAGATGAGCGCTATTTTTTGATGATTTCGTTTACTGGCGTACTCCGTATTGCATGATGGACGCAAGGGCTAGGCGGCAATC